CTAGAATGAGTAGAAACCATTAATATTGTTCACTGACACTTCCCTTAATAGATCGATACTGTTAGAGGTAACTAACTTAATCTAGAGTCAATCCTAGAATTTTTTTTTCTGTCCAGACTCATTTGTTTTTACTATATAAGTTGTATAAAATTCTCTGTTTTTTTTATTCATACAAAATTCTGAATGTATACATAGTTAACATTAGCCAGAGACACTGATATGTAGCTTTACTGTTCTAATACTAGCTATCATAATAAGCATGCAAATAAAGAATCCTGCAATAGGAACACAAGAAAATTTGGAATGTTACATTTCTGAGGAACTTTTAAATACAGTATCTAGCAACTGGAAGGATGCTGGTTATAAGAGTTACATTTCAGCAGTAGGCCACAGAATCATCGCCTGGAATGTCACAGAAATGGCATTGTCAGTGCCAGAAATAGAGGAAACATCACTCAAGGATGTCTGAGAAACTGTTTGGGAACAAGCTATCTTGGGCTGCGAAACGAGTTAGATAAGAACACGCAGTAAGAGACAATCTTCACATCATGATGGCTTATGGCTCACTGGTGGGCATCAGCAGAAATGGGTAGGTAATAAACTGAGATTCTGGGACTTGCTGATACTATCACAAGTGCAAATGTCATTAAGGAAGAATATTATTCTTTCGTCAAGGGTTTTATTGTTCCCATTATCCTATAAGTACTGTAACTGCTCTCAGAGCTCAGCTGTAAACTGCTATTGACTGAGACCGAAGAGACCAGAATCAACATGAAGCTGTTGGCCTAAACTTAATTATTCTTACTGCTATTTGTTATTCATCGTGTACTGTGTTTTCATTATTTTAGTATCATAACAAACCAACCGTGTAAATGCAGGATAAAATATACATAGGAAAATATATAACAGCAGCCACACCAACATTCTACAGGCACATAAAATTTTTGAAATTCAAAAGGTAGGATCTAGAATTATACTTAGAGCTGCAATCATGGTTAAAGGAACACAGAATGTCTTTGTACTTGTGCTTTGCTGTTTACCTTCTTCTGGAAGTTTCTGATTTACTTCTAGAACCAGATTTTATTACCAATGCTTTTAAAAGTATACAGTCGGTGCCCCTCAGTCCCAAGGACCTCAAAGGCAATCCAAGCCTGGTATTCTTTTCATCTGACATCACTCCTTCGGGTGACCCTTCTCATTTCTCTGGGTATCTCTAGAGCTGTAATTTTCTCTTGTGTACCAAATCACTTGGCAGGTGTGGTTATTATGCTTCTTTCTTGGGCCAGCCACTACCCTCTTAACCAATATCATATCCCTCTCATGAGTGAGGGATAAATATATATATCCTTTAAAGAAGAATAGAGCGCTGGAGAAATGACCACACAGGTAGTATAATTCTGTTTTAATCAGACTTTGACAAAGGTATCTCATTGTGGAGCCAGAAGTTGCGAGTTCAATTCCCGATTGTGTCTCCCTGACAGGCTGGACTCAATGATTCATAGGGTCCTTTCCAGCTCTGTAGTTCTAAGATAACGTAAAGTTACTTTGTTGCATTACAACTTTCATAATTCACCTGCCATCATAACCAATGGTCCATTCGGTTCCACATTGACGTCAAAGTTTTGATGCTTACATATAAAGCCCTAAATGGTTTAGGGCCTTGATACTTGGCAGAACACCTACTCCCACCAAGATCTACCCGTATCATCTGAGCGAGTCAAGAGGTGAGGCTGAGGAGCTTGACGCTGAGGGAGGCCTGGAAGGAAAAAACAAGAAACCAGGCCTTCTTGGTGATAGCTCCTCGCCTCTGGAACAACCTTCCTCCGGAGATTCGTGCGGCCCCTTCGCTGGGTATCTTTAAAAACCAATTAAAAACATGGATGTTTACGCAGGCTTTCCCTCCAGTTAATATTTTCTTTTCTTTTCTTTTTTTACTTTTTTCTTCTCTTTTCCATCTTGAAGAACTTGTTATTTGATGTAATAATTTTCTTTTTTGTTATATTTACATGTTGTTTTATGTAGTTGGAGTGGTCGCAAGGCCAAATAGGTGGGATATAAATAAAATAAAATAAAAATTCCTGTTGCAGGCAAACCAATAACTTTTTATGAATTTTGGTTGTCATGTTTTGGCTTTTTAAAAAATGAGCTCAAATAAACAATCTTGGGATGCCATAAAGATAAACTACTATATAATTACATACATTTGTGCAAGCAGAAAAAGTTTGTCATATGAATAAATTATCTGCAGAGACTTCTCTGTTAAAGACTGGGTTCTTGTTTTTGTCTGTTTAACTTCCTAGCTAGGTATGGTTATTATAGTCTCAAGGGCCAAGATTGTATTGCTGTTGTTTGGCCAAGGACATTACACTTCCAGCTCTGCCATTCACCACTTGTTATGTTGAGGTGTTCCCAGCAGAATGAACTCATTAATGGAGTCACAACACTGGAAGAAATCTTGGAGCTCTTCTAGTTCCCTCGTCACCCATTCAATGCAGGATGCAAGGTCAGCTGGCTGTCCAGCCTTTGTTTAAGTGCTTCCACAAAAGGACTGCCACCACTTCCTGCCATATTGTTTTGCTCCAAGTCAAAATTTGCTGCCCTCCAGTTTCCTCGCATTTATTCTGGTCTGACCTCTACAGTGAGCCTGCTCAATCTTCTAAGTATATCTGAAGATAACTATGATGCCCAGAAAGATCACAAGGATTGAGAGCCAAGCTCTGTTCAAGCCAAATATGGAACATCCAGTTCTGGAGATGTTTTTACCAAGAACAATTAAAACCCAAGGGGCAACCACGTTGGTAAGAAACCAAGTCCTGCAGAGAACAATTGAAAAAGTAGCCTATGCTTAGCTTAGAGAAGATAATCTTCCAAAACCATAACTCATGGGAGGCTACCCAAATTTTCCTGAAGCCTTTGAAATCAGCTTTCCTAAAGACCATAGAATAAAGCTAGTGTGGTATAGTGACAGACTATGACTCAGGAGACCTGATTTCACATCTTGGCTTGTCTGTGGAAACTCAATGGTATGACCATTCCTCAAGTGTCTTACATCCCTTGAAAATGCTGTTAGGGTCACTGTAAAGTAGGATGTGATTCAGCTGTACATGATGACAAGAAACCACACTACAGTACATGCCCAACTGCTTAGTTTTCACATCCCTTGCAGCTATCAGCCAATTCAAGATAAAGCAGTTACTTTTATCTGAAGATAAAGGTTCCCCTTGACATTTTAGTCCAGTCGTGTCCAACTCTAGGGGATGGTGCTCATCCCGTTTTTCAAGCCGTAGAGCCAGTGCTTGTCCAAAGACAGGTTCCATTGTCATGTGTCCAGCGGGACTAGGGAACGCTGTTTTACCTTCCCACCGAGGTGGTACCTATTTATCTACTCGCATTTGCATGCTTTTGAACTGCTAAGTTGGTGAGGAGCTGGGACAAAGTGAGGGGAGCTCACTCTGTCACACGGATTCAATCTTACGACTGCTGGTCTTCTGACCCTGCAGCACAGGCTTCTGCGGTTTCCCTGAAAACTCTTGCCAATTTCACTTAAATCGGGCAGTTCTTCTGAGTGGGGCAGGATTAAGTCTTGACACATGTTCATCTTGTTCATTCTTGCATTTGTAAAGATGAAGTTATCAGTACAGCAAGGCAAGTATTGGACATTGTTCTCACCCATTAGGCATGGATACTTACACACTGCCTCATCTCTATAAATCTTTTAATCTGTTTTAGAAAAGTTTCATCCATGCCTTGTAGTTGTCACAGAACATTGCCACTTTTCTTTCTGTATACTTCTGTCTATGCTCAGATTCATGGACTTCCATGCACGTGTACACATTCCATGCAGTTGAATAGATATTTGCACTGGATCTCTTCCTTAAGTTGGTGCACTCCATTAATGAGTTTCGTCCAGCTAAGTTACAGTGAAACTCAACAGATTATACATACCTCCTCACAGCACGAGTTCAAGTTCATCTATAGGGTTGAGTGGGGCTTATTTTCATGTATTGTTTAACTGCTGTGGCTGCCACAGGCCCCCCCCCCCGAAAACTTCAAGCACAAGCATTATCTCCTCCTCTCTGTGGAGGTATTTTCCAAAAGCGAGACACCCAACAGCCCAAAATAAAACCCTCGTTCAAGTCAGGCGGGCGCCACCGGCGCCTCCCGCGCTCCTGATAAGCTCGCCAACATGGCCATGTGGGCGCCGTCGATAACGCCTGAAGAGGCCGCCGGGAAGCGCCTCTTCCCTCGGACCGCAAGTAGCCTCGGAGCAACCGGAGCTTTCCCTCCCCTCTCCCCGCAGCCAAGGGGGAAAAGGCCTTCGCAAAGACGGCCGGCATCTCCTCGGCGTTTTCCCTCTTGGCTTCCGAAAGAGAAAACGGGTTGGGCGAGCCGCTCCACCTCCTTGGAGCGGTGCCGTCGAGAGGCCTCCTTCCCGTCCTTGGCACTTTCTAGCCGGCTTGTGTGGCTCCCCTCACCCCCGGCCCAATCAGCCAGGGCATGAGGCGGCCTCCCTTGGAACTCCCCCCATCCTCTCCGCCAAGTCGAGTCTCAAACTCTTCACATCTGTTTTGCATTGGGATTCTTCAGGGCCCGCCCGCTCCCGTCCACCATCATCACCTCCCTCTATTTCCTCTCCTCTCCTTCCACTACACAGCGGTTTAGGAGCTGGGGGCGGGCCGGGCCCCCTCAGCCTCCTCCGTGGCCGCGGTCTTTCCCCGCCCCGGTGGCTTTTCTCCCCCATTAATCAGCGGTGTTCTGGCGGGAAAGCACCCCCTCCCCTTTTGCTAACTCTTCTGTAATGCGGGGGAGGGGGCGGCTCTGGGATGGATGGGAAAGCTTCCTCCCCTCCCCTCTCCGCCCGCCCCAGCTCCCCTCCCCCTCGCTTCCTCCCCCTNAGGACCGTGACTAAGGCTTGGCCGGCCCGAGGGCGACGCAGCCTCGGGATTGGCGGGCCGGGCGCTTGTTGGACGGAGGGCGTGACGGGGGTATAAGAGGCGCGCCGAGAGTCCGGCCAGCGCTCTCCCGCGCCTCTTCCTCGTGTGCTCTCTGGCCGTCGAAGTTCCCGAAGCCGCCGCCGCCTCCTCACCCCGGGACCGTCCGGATTAGCCCGCCAAGATGAGCACGACGACCTCGACCCGGTCTTCTTACCGCCGCATGTTCGCGGGCGGCAGCCGGCCCAGCACCGGCGGCAGCTCCCGTTATGTCACGTCTTCGAGCCGCTACTCGCTGGGCAGCGCCATCCGGCCGAGCAGCGTCCGCCTGGTCTCGTCCTCGGCGCCCGGCGGCGGCATCTACGCCTCCAAGTCGGTGCGGTTGCGCAGCAGCCTGCCGCCGGTGCGCCTCTTGGCCGACGCCGGGGTGGACTTCTCGCTGGCCGACGCCATCAATTCGGAGTTCAAGGCGAACCGCACCAACGAGAAGGCCGAGCTCCAGGAGCTCAACGACCGCTTCGCCAACTACATCGACAAGGTGCGCTTCTTGGAGCAGCAGAACAAGATCCTGCTGGCCGAGCTCGAGCAGCTGAAGGGCAAAGGCACCTCGCGCCTGGGCGACCTCTACGAGGAGGAGATGCGCGAACTCCGTCGCCAGGTGGACCAGCTCACCAACGACAAGGCGCGCGTGGAAGTGGAGCGGGACAACTTGGCCGACGACATCATGCGCCTCCGAGAGAAGTAAGGGGCCCCCGGGCCGGGCCGGGCGGGAGAGGGCCCTTATTTAGGCAGCCCTCCCTGGGTGCAGACCCCATTGCGCTCGATGGGATGGAAGTTCCCGCGGGTGGGCAGAGGAGGATCGCGGGTGGGTGTGGTTCTCTCTCCGCCGCGCTTCGTGGCGGGCGCGGCCGGGCGAGGTCGGTTCAATACGCTGCGCCCGCTGCGTGGACGATCCGCAGCTGTGATCCGGAGGGGGCTGCGGTCCGAAGGTTTAGCGGCTTGGGAACCGCCAAAGAAGCTCCAGTCAGGCGCAATGTTTGGTTTGTTCGTTTGTTTGTTTTTCGCAAAAGGGTTGGTTTTAGAGTAACTTGCTGATAAACGCGGTGTAAGTGTCTGAAGAGTCACTTTTCTCTACCTTTTTAATCTGACTTTTTTTAAAAGAAAGTTTCTCAGATGGTACCTGCCAAATTTCCCATCTGAATGCAGTGAAAATGTGTTATTTGGCCTTTAGAAACGTTGTCCACAGTTTCCAAACTTTTTCAGGCTCCTGGTAGTTCTTTTCAAGAGTGGGAGGGAAGGACTGAAGCTGCTGCGCCAGTCTTTATGCTTAAACAGAAGTCCAAGTGTGTTCAAATGCTTGCCGTCATTTCTCACATGATTTGAGTTATAATTGTTGTTTTCTGTGTGTCTGGTGAGTCTCCCAAAGTATCTCATGATGAAAAAGTTCAGACTCTTTTCAGAGCTGACCGTGTGAAAAAAATCGTGCTGTTTGCCAGAAAAGCTTGGGAAGTGCCAGTGGGGTGGCGCAGTAACTATTCTTCCTTGCTTTTGAAGAGATGCTTGGGTGGTCTTTTCTTTGCACGCTGCAGGACAAAGGAGGAGGGCTGATAGTTTCCTGCAAACTTTCATACTTTGCAAGTCTTTCTTTATTCATACCACAGTGTTGCACAATCTAAAATTATGGACCTATATGAAATATATGTAATTTTTAAAAAAATGTTAAGATAATTAAACAATTTGTGACAGTGCCTTGCATCTATTTGCAGGCCAATCCTTTGAGCGTTTATTTGTAAGGAACAAATTAGTATTTTGTCCAGGAAGTGAGAGTTTTATTTGCAAATATCTGAGATGGGGTGTGGCTTACCTTTAAGTATGGGTATGGAGGACAGGATTCCTACAGTTCAATCTGGTGCTGGTTTTCTTAAATTGAAGTCTCACGTTATTCAAAATAAAAGTATTACTGCCAAGTAAATATATTAATTTGCCATTTTAATGCTAGAGTAATATGCGTACTTCCTTGGAAGTAACAGCAGTTGGGTTTTTCTGAGGACACATTGCTAAGATTGCATTCGTAGTCTCTGCCGATTGTTGCATCCACTTATGTAGGATCTTCAAGGTCACATGGTTGCAGATACCCCATAATTTGCCACGTCAATACTAGAATTGCAAAATCTGAAGCATCAGGACTAAGTTAGCAGCTTGATGCAACTTAATGAAAGACTCCAGTTTTAGCACAATGTGAACTCACACAATTAAGCAAATGAACTACCATTTAGTTCAGCATGCACACCCTTTTCAATTAGTTTAAATAACCATTTTTGACAGGGCTTGTGACCCCATTTTTGGTGCAGATTTGCTCCCAGCCTGGACAGGCAGCAGTGAAAACAGCTCTGCAAATGATGGAGGGGAATGCTTTTGTTTGAAAGGCTTCCCCTCCCACTTTCTTTCCACTTCCCTCTTTCTTTCTCAACTGGGTGTGGCCGCCTGCCTGTTACATCTGACCTTCTGTTGGTTGACTGTTTGACCATCTTTGCATGTGTCCTTTCTTTTCCAGACTTCAAGATGAGATGCTTCAGAGAGAAGAAGCTGAAAACACTCTGCAGTCTTTCAGACAGGTTTGTAGTGATCTTCTGTTGAAGTTTTTAAAAGTGTGCTTTAAATGTGGAGCCAACATCTTAAGTTTTGAAGCAGAATATAAAGCCATCTGCTGGTTGGAAAAGGTACAGGAGTGCCAGCTCTAGAATGATGAGTACAGTGTACATTCACGATACTGAAGAGTTTGTAGGCTTCATTGACTGCATCTTGCTTTTGACTCTTTGTTTCTAAGCAAATCTTAGATGTTAAAGAACATAACACAAGTTCTGATGGATCCAATCATTGTCCCGTATGATCCAGCATTGTGCTCCCACAGTGGCCAACCAGATGCTTCTGCAAATTCCATAACCAGGAGAATATAAAGACATGTCCCACTCAGGCTTTTGTTCCCCAGCAACTGGAATTTGGAGGCCTGCCACCGTTAATTCCAGCAGTACCATAGAGTCATGACCTTGTACAAATCACGCTGCATCATATAAAATGCCCCTCAACTGCTATATTTCCTGGATATGGCTTGTTAATAACCCTCATGCATACAGTTTTAGTGTTTTACATGAAGTAAGTTTGATCCTAGTATTTTGAGTTTAGTAGGAGATGTGAC